TGAGCTTTCAAGTATTTTATAGAAAGGAAGTGAAAATAGAGATAAATAGGGGTGCAGAAAAGGAATAACCAAAATAAAATCCAGCACAAAGCCCATAAAGCATTAAGAGGGCTGACTTACATAAGCCCGATCAATTGGCACATTGAGGCAATCGATTGGAGAAGCTTGGCACTCATATTTTCAAATCATATCCAAGATAAACATGTGCTCCGAGGCAATCAGATCCTAGCGTTGATGATAAACGCTCAATGTCTTGAAATATTTGATCATCAAATCGATTCAAACCCTAAGCTTATCAATTGACACGTGACTTTTAGAATAATTTCAATCTGATTTTCAGTATGTATAATCAACATTGATTAATTTCTAGAATTACATGCTCAAAATCATCAAAAGGAAAGCTATAAATATGTATTAATTCTTCACTCTATTTGCATATCAAACTTTCTTCCTTTAGAATTTTCTATATGAGTTTTCTCTCTTGCCATAAGTATCATCGCGACCTTATCAAGGCACAAGTATGGAGGTTCCCATAAGAGAGGTGTCTTTATTGTTGGTGTAATTAACAGAAAGTAAGAAGAGAAGATGATGGTCATGAGAAAGAAAGTGATCCAACCGTGCTTCATGGAGCCAAGCTTCACGAGGAGCCATAAATTGTATTCTTAAACCTGTCAAGCTTCTCTAAAGGATTTCTTTATAAAGGTACCCGATAGAACCTTTTCATACCTTGTAAGAGATTTTTTTTCAAACTTTAGGGTTATGGGGACAACCTTGAGATCATCAGTTAGAGGCGACAAAACAGATATCCACAAGAATAATTTTGGTAGAATTTTTTAGCTACCCTCTGAAGGAACCTCTTAAACCTATGAGGGACCCTTAGGTTATAAGAACTTCAAATTCTTAACATCCCTAAAAAACCTTATTAACAATCCCATGGAGAAAAGAAAATTCTCCTTCAAATCAACCCACCTAAAATAAAGGATTGCATCCTTCACTACATTCAAACTATAATTCTCTTTCCAAGGAATGTGAACCATAATTATGTCATTAGAGAAGATGTTGTACCCATATAACTTTTAACCCAAGAAATTCCAACATATTTAGTTTTCACCACATTCTTCGCTCTAAAGAGAACTAGTCATCGGGACTTCCTTATGGAGCAATAATCACCAAACTCTTAGCAACCTTCAACGTGATACCATGGACAAAACTGTAGACTCAACCAACTATAGGATTAACTACACATCCCTCAGAGAGATAAAGGTACACATCAAACATGGATAATTGAGAGATAACCTGGTGGTTGAAGAAGAAGAAGAAGACCTTGTAGAGATAGAAAACATATCAATTAACAAAGTCTTTGAGATATGTCAAAACATTACCAAAGAGTGGAAGAACTCAAAAGGATCATCAAAAGGAATAATGATGCTTATGGCAAATAATAATATCTCTTATATATTTTAGTTTCCAAGTGTGTTTATATTTTTACTTTAGAATTTTGCTTTAAGCAATTTCCTAATTCTTATAATTTAAATTCCAATATTTTATTTTAATAAAAGTGTGATGTTTCTTCCTTTCCCTAAATGTTTATGTGGTCATGTTTGCATATTTAAAATTTTCACAATGTCTCTTTTACCCGCCTTTTTGATTTTGACAAAGGGGGAGATGTATACTCTAAGGGGGAGCAGAGTATACTCTCAACTTAACTGTGGGGAAGTTTAAATAATCAAAATATATTTAGTTATTTCTTTTACCACCTCCTAGAAAGGTATGTTGTCATCATAAAAAACGAGGAGAATGTGGAAACATGTTTTGCAGATTGCAGGTTAGTGATAAAAGAAGATCTCTTGAAGATGAATATGCTTTTGATGATGAAAACTAGCTTTAGATGATAACAACTAAGGTGAAAGCATAACAAGCGGTTAAAGATGTAAGCAGACTAAATAGGGTTTGATGATCACTACAAACATCGTCTAATGATATCACCTAAATGGAATATAACTCAAGTCTCATCTCCAAGGAATTCAAGCAATTATCTATATTATTGAAGTACCTGATAAGTCTTGAAGTGTGTTAAAGCTCACTCAGTCGAATCTGGATGCATATCATTGTAAAAGAAAAAAAATCATTTTTGTAAAGTTATATGACTAAATCACACACACACACGGTCATACATGCACACGCATACGTACATGCACACGCACACGTACTCGCACAAAAAAAATTGTTTTCAAACCTATTTTGCTTAAATAATTTCTCCTAAAACTTGTTTGAAGTCGTGTCAGCTGAATCAGGAATTGTCTTAACAATTTTGGACAAAATTTGTATTGTCCAATCGATTGCCACCCCCAATGGATTGGATCAGTGTGAAAATCATCCTAAGCGTTTAGGATAGTGTCTTAATGAATTTTTTTCCTTCTTTTTAATAGCCCAAACAATTATTTTTATGTCTATCAATCAATTGTTGCATGATTCCAATCGATTGACACATTAATCATGACCAAATTTTTTTCCTTTTTCGTGTCACCCTCAAGCCTATAAATAGAGGACCCTTCATCCTAAATAATTATGCGCCTAGCCCAACTCATAATCATAAGACTAATCGCTTTAATCCATAGTTTGGAAGGAAGACTCACTAATTCTCTCCATGTTTGCTCTTTGGTTAGAAATTAGACAAAATCCTCATTTTTTGTATAAGGGGGTTCAAGAGTTTAACCTACTTAAAGCTCTTAAGATTTACTAGATACTCTCAAGAAAATTTTTTGGGAAGAGGATTAGGTATTTTCTTTTTGACTAAACCTCTATAATTCCTGGTGTTATCTCTCTATCCTTTAACCTTTATTTTTTGCATTTTATTATTAATTTTCCACTGCTAATTTATAAAACATTTCTAAAATGGTTTTAAACTTTGAAACTGATCCTAAAAGTTTTTCAAACTCAAGTTTTTTCTGAAATCCACAATTCACCCGACCTCTTGCGCGGGGAGTCATATATACAACAAGATCATCAAGTTATAAGAATTTGAGCTTGATTCTTACTTCGCTATAACCAAATAAAAATGAGCCCTTGGACGGGCCCAAGATAGTGTTCATGTTCAATCATGGTAATCACTACTACAATGTCATGTCATTCAGACTAAAGAACACGAGTGCTAATGATCAAAGAATAATGAGTGCAATATTCTCTGATCAAATAAGGCATAATATGAAGGTTTACATTGACGATATGGCCGTGAATACTCTAGAACAAAGAAACTACTATAGAGATTTAGAATACATCTTAGATTCAATTAGAAGATACAAGATGCGCTTGAACCCCACCAATTGCTTATTTGGGGTTCAAGCAGACAATTTTTTTGGATTTATGTTAACCAAAAGAGGGATTGAGACAAACCTCCATAAATGTCAAGAGATCATTAATATGATGAGCCCCTCCAGCGTCAGAGAAGTTTAACAACTAACATGGTGCATGGTCTTTCTATCTCATTTTCTTTCTTGTGCAGGTGACAATGCATTCAACTTCTTTGACACTATAAATAAGAAGGAGAATTTCGAGTGGACAAATGAATGTGAAGAGGTGTTCATTATAAGTGTCAGATTTACCTCTAATATGTCGGCACTTATTGGATTATTTCACAAGAAATCATTACAAAACCAACTGATTTATCTATGAAAAGTAAAGAAACACCTATTTAGGCTTTTCTTGCACATATTTTATCAAAACCAATTGAAAATAATTGGAAAACCATGAATCAACATGAAGAAAATCGATAAAAGCATAACCCTGAAGAAGCAAGGCTCGTTAGGCGCAGAGTTGAGCTAGGTGGAAGTACTTTTGATAATTTTCTTCGCTTGAAGTACTCACCCTTTTTCCCATTCCAAATAAATCTCATGTTTAAAGTGGAGATAACTGACATAATAATGGGGGATGCTCAGCTCATTTAGCACTTCCTCAACATATTCCAGTGCAACATATCACAAGCTTTTACTAAATCCACTTTTATAGCAAAAAAAATCCCTTCTTGCCTTTTAACTTGTTCATATAATGGAGAATCTCTTTAGCTACCACTATATTCTCTTGGATGTTTCTACTTGGGATGAAACCTGTTTGATTAGGTGACACAACCTTATCCATGCACATCTTTATTATATTAACTTTACTAAGGACTTTGTAAATAGCATTACAAAGAGAAATTGGGTGAAACTCAGTTACCTTCTTCGGGTTAGTAACCTTTGGAATAAGACAGATTTCAAATTGGCTGGCCTCTTCTATACTGTTAGGATTATTCTATAAATTTTGTATATGCTTACACACACTAGGACCAACTACATTCCAGGAATTTTGAAAGAAACCTGTAGGATGACCATCAGGTCTTAGAGACTTCCAAGGGGCCATATCAAATACAACTTTCTTTATTTCCTCCTCCTTCAACTCTTCATTAAGCTTTCTCAAAACATTTTCCTTAATAGGTTGAAAAGAATGAGATGTGTGAAACCAATCAGTAGTCTAAACTTCTGTATTGTATAACTCATGATAATGATTTTTGAACAATCTCTTTATTTCTTTAGCACGTTCTATCCAAAGCCCTTGATCATTCTTGATGGTATGAATGATTTTTATGCTTCTCCTTTGAATAACTTTAACATGATAAAATCTAGTGTTTTGATTATGAGTTAAATTAATATCCTAAACAACATGTATCATATCCTGGTACGAATCCCCACCCCAAGTACTCAAACACTCTCAAACTTAAAATACTTAGGTAAGTCCATAGTAATATCATCAGCTAAAGAAAGCAACACATGATGGTGATCAGAGAAATCAAGTCTGGTAAGAACCTTAACCCGCGCATCTGGAAATTGGAGTCTCTATTGGTAATTCCTCAACACTCTATCTAGTCTTTTATAGACTCTACAACCTCCATGATTAATAGGACCCCTCTAAGTATATTTATATCCTGAATATCCTAGATCAATAAAGTTACAACCATTGATTCTATCTTAGAACAAAACACACTTCCTAGCATATGGAATAACTTCACCCCTCTTTTTTGTCCCAACAAGAATATTTTTAAAGTTTCCACCAACAATCCAGCTGCTATCCACTTTTTCCACTATGTTTTTCAATTTTCTCAATAACTCCCTCTTACCATCTTCTATAGGGCTTACATAGACTGTTGTTAACAACCAATATACCTCGTCGCCAATTTTGATTTTTGCATGGATGAATTGAAAATGATTCTTGAGAATTTCAACACCGATCTTGCTCGTCATCCATCCCATAGAAATTCTTCCTACATAACCTCTGACCTCTGTAAACTTACACCCATCAAAACCTAAACTGATGAACTTTTTGCAAAGTTTGGATGGGTCAATTCTCGTTTCCATGACTACAAACATGCCTGGATTATTCTGACGTATATAACAACTGCTAGCACAACTGAAGGCATGGCTCCCTGCACCTATACAGTTCTAGAACATAAACTTACATTGATCCTTAATCATTAAAATTATCGACTGGAAACTGCTGCCCCTTGTTGACCATACGGTGTCTCCTCCACGAGCTCCATGACTGAGTTCTCCTTTTCTTCCACTCTATCATCATTTTTCTTGATTGGTGTAGCTTCATTCGTCACTTCTTCTTCAAGATGAATGTTGCTACACTCTGAAAAAGTGTTAGGGGAGATGTAATTAGGTGTTTCACTTTATATAGTGTTAGAACACTGATTGGTTTTTAGTAAATATCTCTATGTTTTGATGATAACTATTATGAAATTTTATAATTAAGAATTATATACTCTAAAATTTGCTTAAGAATGATTGTTGTACATATCAAAAGAAATATCACTCCAGAAGCAAATCAGAACTGAACATAAGAAATATGCAAGACACTGAAGCATCAGATGCACCCATTAGAAGATTCTGAACGCTGCCTTCAGAAGATCCTGAGCGTTGCCTCCAGAAGGATCTGAAGCAAAAGCTCCAGAAGGATCTGAAGCAGAAGCTCTAGAAGAATCTGAAGCAAGTCAGAAGCATCTGAACCAATGAAGAATTTTGTATGAAGAGTTTTTCAAGCTTAGTTAATTCAGAAGACTCTGAGAGTACTAACGCTGCCAGTACTGAGGATCTGATCCAAAACTCTGCTCTGAACTTATACACGCTAAAAGCACACTTGCTGCAAAGACTCTGATTCAGCAAAACTCTGATCAACATCAGAAGGCTCTGATCAAATTAGACTCTGATGATTCTTGTTGAAAACTGTTGAAGAAGAATTCAAAGATTATGTCCGTTGGAATATCCAAACGACTCTTTCCTTATTTATGCTAGACATAAGAACACAGACAAAAAGGATTTCTCTGTGCTTTCTTCTTCTAGGAAAGGTCACTTGATGTGAAGACAAAAAGGCTCAGACCTTTTGGTACACACTTCTCAACGTGAAATACTCTTGGATCACTGTGCCTATAAAAGAAAGTCTCCACTCATCTTCTTCAGTTGACGTATCACTTGAAAAGAATTCTTTATCTAAAGCTCTCATACAACTCACATATATTCTTTCTAGAATTAATTTCTTTGTTCTTAATATTAAGTGAAAAATCACAGTTGTGATAAAGCTTTATTAGAAGCATTTTAACACTTGTATTTATTATTACATTTGATTGTAAGAAAACCTTAAGAAGATCCAGTTAGGATCAGTAGTTCTTGAGAAGACTTTGAACAATTGTTCTTAGTGCTTACTATTGTAATCAATTGATTAAAATAGTGGGTTAAGTCCTTGATTGAGAAAGGTAAATCACTCTAGAAAGGGTGGACTGGAGTAGTTGAGTTCAACGAACCAGGATAAAAATAACTGAGTTTTTATTTCTAAGTTTTTATCTTCATACTTATTCAACCCCCCCTTCTAAGTATTTTCTCACCTTCAGTTGGCATCAGAGCTCCGGTTCTGTGTGTGCTACCACTTCACAGTGACAGAAAAGATCCAGTGAGAAAAACTTTGGTATATATTTGGTTGTTACTATGGCTGATAATTCAATATCTAACATTAACAACAAATATGAAGAAAGGGATAGAATCAACACTAAACCCCCTATGTTTGATGGGGGAGAAATTTGATTATTGAAAAGACAGGATTGAAAGTTTTTTCCTTGGTTATGATGCTGATTTATGGGATTTGGTCATAGATGGATATGTTCATCCCATTGATGGGAATGGCAAGCAAGTAGATAGAAAATCTATGACAGAAGCCCAAAAGAAGGAATTTAGAAATCACCACAAGGCTAGAACAATATTGTTAAATGCAATATCTCACACTGAGTATGAAAAGATTACAAATAGAGAAACTGCATTTGACATGTTTGAGTCCTTAAAGATGACTCATGAGGGAAACTCTCAAGTCAAGGAAACAAAGGCTCTAGCTCTAATCCAGAAGTATGAAGCTTTCAAGATGGAAGAAGCTGAATCTGTTGAAGCTATGTTCTCCAGATTTCAAATACTTACAGCTGGACTAAAGGTTCTGGATAAAGGATACTCTACTGCTGATCATGTGAAAAAGATCATCAGAAGCTTACCTACCAGATGGAGACCTATGGTGACTGCGCTGAAAATGGCTAAAGATCTGAACAAGATTTCCTTTGAGGAACTAATCAGTTCACTGAGGAGTCATGAAATTGAACTTGAGGAAGATGAACCTCAAAAGAAAAGTAAATCAATTGCAGTAAAATCTAATAAATCTGCTAAAGCATTGCAGGTAATAGAGGAAAGCTCTGAAGAATCCTCATCTGAAGATGAAGATGAACTATCCATGCTTTCTAGAAGGATAAACAAACTCTGGAAGCATAAAGGAAAGAAGTTCAGAAACTTCAGGAAGCCTGACCAAAGAAAAGAATCTTCTGGACACAGAAGATCTGGCAAAAAGGAGGTTGTCTGCTACGAATGTAAAGAACCTGGGCATTACAAAAATGAATGTCCAAAGTTGTTGAAACAAAAGCCTAAAAGAAAATCTGATAAGAAGAAGAAGGTTCTAATGGCAACCTGGGATGATTCAGATACATCTGAATCTGAATCTGAGTCAGAAGAGGAATGTGCCAATGTAGCATTGATGGCAGACATAGAAGATCAGGAGGAAGAAATTTCAGGTTCTGAATCTGACTCTGAATCTGACTCTGACGTTGAAGAGGTAATGGCTAAACTCACTAAAGATGAACTTATCAAAGTGCTATCAGAAGTTCTGAAGAGCTATAACAATATTAAGCTCAAATACAAGAAGCGTCAAAGCAATCTTGTATCTGAGAATAATATTCTCAATTCAGAAGTAGTTGAGCTAAATGAAAAGAACTTAAGATTGAAAAATGATTCTGAATTAGCTCAACAAGACTCTAATTCTGAAACTGAGTTTGAATGCAAAAATATTTTGGAAAAATATGATTACAGCTTTCAGAAGTTTCTTGCTAAAAGCATAGACAGAAGCAAAATGGATTCTATGATCTATGGAGTTAGCCGAAATAACAGAAAAGGAATTGGATATAAATTTTCTTCTGAAAAGGATTTAAATCCAAAACCTGTTGATAAAATTATCATCAAGAAGACTCCTTTATATTCCCACTTTAAATTTGGTCACTTGAATGATATTGAACACACTCGTTCTGAAAAGAACATTCATGCGTTTAAATCTAAGGCTAGTCAGAATAAACCTCATGTTGAAAAACAGAAGTTTAGACAAACCTTCAGAACAACTAACCCAAAAGGACCCAAGAAGATCTGGGTACCTAAAAGTAAAATAATTCCTGTTGCAGATGTTCTTAGCAGCAAGGTCAGGACGCTAATCATGGTACCTGGACTCTGGATGCTCACGACACATGACAGAAGAAAGGTCTATGTTCCAAAGTCTGGAGCTTAGATCTGGAGGTGATGTGAAATTTGGAGGGAATCAGAAGGGCAAGATCATTGGATCTGGCACCATTGGAAATGGTAAACTTCCCTCTATTACTAATGTTTTACTTGTAGAAGGGTTAAAGCATAATCTATTGTCCATAAGTCAATTAAGTGACAATGGTTATGACATAACCTTTAATAAAAAATGTTGTAAAGCTATTAGTCAAAAGGATGGCTCAATTCTGTTTAGTGGAAAAAAGAACAACAACATTTATAAAATAAATCTTTCAGAACTTAAGGTTCAGAATGTTAAATGTCTCTTATTTGTAAATAAGGAGAAATGGGTCTGGCACAGAAGATTGAGGCATATTAATATGAAACGTATATCTCAGATTAATAAACTTAATCTTGTCAGAGGACTTCCTAATCTGAAGTTCACTTCAGATGCTCTTTGTGAAGCATGTCAAAAAGGGAAGTTTTCAAAATCATCTTTTAAATAAAAAAATGTTGTTTCTACTTCCAGAGCCCTAGAATTACTTCATATTGATCTATTTGGACCAGTGAAAACTGCATCCATCAGAGGCAAGAAGTATGGATTAGTCATTGTTGATGACTATAATAGATGGACATGGGTAAAGTTTTTAAAACACAAGGATGAGTCACATTCTGTGTTCTTTGACTTTTGCAAACAAGTCCAGAATGAAAAAGATTTTAAAATTATAAAAGTCAGAAGTGATCATGGTGGTGAATTTGAAAACAATTATTTTGAAAAATATTTTAATGAAAATGGCATTGCTCATGATTTTTCTTGTCCTAGAACTCCACAACAAAATGGAGTTGTAGAGAGGAAAAATAGAACTCTGCAAGAAATGGCCAGAACCATGATCAATGAGACAAATCTGGCAAAGCATTTTTGGGCAGAAGCAATCAACATAGCCTGTTATATTCAGAACAGAGTGTCTGTAAGACCTCTTCTGGAGAAGACTCCCTATGAACTGTGGAAGAATAGAAAGCCCAACATTTCATATTTTCATCCTTTTGGATGTATTTGCTATGTGTTGAATACTAAAGAAAATCTGAACAAGTTTGATTCTAAAGCACATAAGTGTTTCATGCTTGGGTATTCTGAACGCTCTAAAGGCTACAAAGTATACAATACTGAGACACAGATTGTGGAAGAATTTATTCATGTTAGATTTGATGATAAGCTTGGCATTAAAAAGCCAAAGCAGTCTGAAAACTCTGCAGATAGAGAAGTAATCTTCACAGACTCTAAAGGCTCAGAGGCAGACAAAGCTCAAGTGAAGGAACCAGAAGCAACGCCAGATGCAATTCCTTTAACTTCTCAGATGAACAACTTAAACATTTCTGAAGAATCAACTGTTAGAGGATCATCTTCCAGAATCAAAGCATCTCATCCAAAGCATGTCATTATTGGAAAGAAGGATGACCCTATCAGAACAAGATCCTTCCTCAGATCATCTGAAGCATCATTATTTGGATTGGTATCAGTAATTGAA